TATATAGCAACAAGGGCATCGCTGCTAGTAACAAGTGCATCGCTATTAGTAGCAGGAAGCTACTATATAGTAACAAGGGCATCGCTGCTAGTAACAAATGCATCCCTGTTAGTAGCAAGAAGCCACTATAGTAACAAGGGTATCCCTACTAGTAACAAGTGCATCACTATTAGTAGCAAGAAGCTACTAGTAACAAGGGCATCGCCGGCATCGCTGCTAGTAACAAGTGCATCGCTATATTAGTAGTTAGAAGCTAGTAATAACAAGGGCATCGCTGCTAGTAACAAACGCACCCCTATTAGTAGCAAGAAACCACTACAGTAACAAGGGCATCGCTACTAGTAACAAGTGCATCGCTATTGGTAGCAGCTACTAGTAACAAGGGATCGGGCTTTAAAAGAGTTTTGCCTCTCTTTGTTCTGTCTCTCTGTCTTTGCTCCCTCCCTGGCATAGATGCGGCCCCGCAACGTCATGATGTTCGGCTGGAGAAATGCAGCCATCATCTCCTCAAGGTATCCAAGTGCCAAGTCAGGCTCACGAGACTGTGCTGCAGATGAGATCATAGCATTGTAAGGCCTTCCACAAGCATCGAATGCGAACAAACATGGAAGAACTACTGAAATGAAATCTTGGGTATGGTAAGTCGTTGCAGCACGCAGCGACCGAATACTAATCATGCTGCGGCCCAAGCCACCCGCTATCTAGTGGAATCTCACTCACCTTCGCACGTCGGAGCCATTCAGCAGCTTCATAAGTCTTTGCCGACCGGGCACAAACGAAGATCCTCGGTGCTTGATGTGTGCCGCGGTGCACCACGTGGAGTCGTGGAGATTTCGGTGGTTCCTTTCTTTATTTCTTGTTGTTCTCTTAACTTATATATCTAGAATCTTACAGCTTTCCTCTTACGTCTTCTCAGTTTCGCGTTTCGGCAAGGCTCGTGGGAGGAGGACGAGGCTTGGCGTGAATCGAGTGGATTACCCCTCTTGCCAAGAAACATGGAAGTGAAAGACGCCGCCCCAGGCATGTAAGTTGACGCAAGCTTGTTGAACCAATGCTGTGCATCTGAAAGTGGGCCCCCCTTCCTCAAATGCGGACTTCTATCATGGTGACATAGATAGAATAAGAAAGCACATATTTAACAAAAACTCTTGTTGTAAACACATTCAGACTCTTCTTGAAGCTAAAAAAAGGAAGTAGTATAAACTATATATAGCCAAATGCTCAGTACTGTCAGTCAGGACCAATCAAGTTTCCTATCAAAGATCATGCAGACTTCAAGTTCTAAGATTCTTGGCAAAGGCATCAAGAACACCACCGTGAGAAGAAACATCTGGCTGCAATTTTGCTGTCACCATTCCCTCAAGCCACCGGATGGCCTTCAGAATCATGGTTCAAACTTGCGCAAAGCTGGGTGTCCTTTCACTTTTTAGTTGAAATGTCACTCTGCTGTCACCAACTCTTCTGTTGATCCAAAGCTAAGGGGATTTGCGCAAGCCTGCTTAGGATGCCCGACTCGTGCGCAGGCATGAATGACACTGTTGTAAGTAATGACATTCGGCTTCAGCCCGAGCTCATCTGCTTTCTGAAGCCACTTGGCAGCGTCTGCCGCCTAGGAACAGGTGAACTAAGATTTGATGATTTGACATGATTTCTCAGCATTAGAAATTATTGCTAAAGTGCCCTCACCTTGCCAAGCTGAGAAAAGGCATTGACAATGCAAGAGAGGGCCACCAAATCTGGAGAGATGTTTTGACCCTCCATGTAGTGAAGTACTTTGATGGCAGCTTCAGGCTGTCCTGCTCTGCTACAGGCATCAATGGCCTCAGCAGGACCAGTTTAGGCTGCCAAAACAAAGTGTTTTGTTGATGATGTGCCACCAAATGCTGCCTACCCTCTCCAAGGACAAGCACCTGCTGCTTAGCAGGCGGAATGCAGCATATTGTCAATCTAAAATTGAGCTATTGGTTGCAGAAACACTAGATGCAAAGCTTGGGAGCTGCGCTGTAGCTGATTCGATTTGGTTTCATCTGCATCTGCTGCATCCGCTGAAGGACGCTAAGAGCTTCTGCCGCTTGACTGGTCTGCAAGAACAACACAAGTTGGGTCCCAAGACATCATGAGAGCCTTTGGGGTTTATAGGATGGAGTGTTGCTGGGTTGTGTAGTATTTGTCCAATCAAGCTCACTATTAGGTTGGAGGCCATCGTTACTAGGAACATTGAAATTGCACTTCCCAATTGCAATCAAGATCACCATCCTTCCTTACTGCTTTGTTCTGAGTGAAGTCGAGGCCTTGAGCACAACCTAATAGGAATGGCCTCCAACCTAGTAGCAATGGCCTCCAACCTACTAGCGACGGCCTCCAACCTAATGGCGATGGTTGTATCTCAAAGCTTCGTCTTTGATGCGGAACCTACAGCCCCCAGGTTTCGGCCTTTGCATACGCATGTATGAGGCTGCCATAGCTCTCGATGGACGGTGGCATTCTGCAATGCTGCAGGCCAAGTACCAAGGCCTCAAAGAACATCAGCCAGTTGATCCAAGCAGTATATAAGGTCTGGAAGTCTGGCAGCACTTGGTATTTTTTTGATTGCAGTCACAGGCCTCTGTCTCTGGCACAAGACCTGCCTGAGTTTGTCAAATGCTGACGAGAACAGGCATTCAAGTCCAAAAGGAATACACAAAAAAGGAACTGTAAAGTCTCAAAGTGTCAAGAGAACGGCTGCGTCTATAAACAATGGAGTTGCTCAAAAGGATGGCAAGTGCGTGTGTGGTCGCACATGATTACAATCCAAACCAGGACGCCTGCGCTGCTGCATCTATCACTATGTGAAGAGTGATCGAATTCTCAGTCGTTTGCAACACAAAACACTGCGAAAAAATTGGAAAAGAATAAACAAAAACACCGATGTCCAATGTCTAGCATCATCAACAAGCCACTGATCAGTCATTGGCAATCAAGGTTGGGTTCCATATACGGGTTTATGGGTGCGCTTTGCAAAAAATGAAATAATCAACAATAAATGCGAGCTCGGTCCCGGTCTTCGCTTGTGCCTAAAGTGCTGCCCAATATCTGGTGTGAAGAACTGGCTCATGCGTGCCAAAAAGGTCAGGGCGCTCTCTAGATCGCCCCCCTTTGCAAAGGCCTCGATCACTTTTCCATATGTCCTGGAAAGTCGAAATTGAGTTAACTAACTAAGCTGAAGAATTTGATGCAAACGAAAAACTGTACTATGTACGTGTAGGACGCACTTTGCATGTAAAGTGCAATTTACGTCAGACTGCCTCTACAGATTGTTTCCTTCAGCAAGGATTCTACGATGTCCTGCTACTTGTAGCTTCCTCTCTTCAACTCACTCGCTACTGCCCTACCTTTCGTCCCCCAAAAACAAAGGGACAAGATAGGTTCGGTCTTCGCATTTGTCCGCACTCTCGATGATGTCATTTGGCTAAGCCAGGCTGCCGCCTTGCTAGCTGCTCCACGGTTGGCATATGCCTGAGCAAGCGCAGCCCACTCTCAAGGATCTTTCAACAAGGAACTCTTCAAAAGTCCAGGCCTTCAGCAAGGTGTTGCTGATCTTTGTGTGACTGTTGGAAGGGGTCAGTGGGAACAACACCTCGGTGCACCATTGGAGATATAAAGCATGCGCGTGGCAGTGGGCATTCAGTTATGAGTTTAGGAAGTTGCCAAAATGATCCAAGAAGCTTCGAAAATATCTTCCGCCCGTTTTACGTCACCCAACTCCGCTGCTTCATTCAAGGCGTCACCCAATTCTGCTGCTTCTTTCAAGGCTATACTTCTCTTGCTGCGAAGCCACTGGGCACGGGGATTCCTAGTATAGCAAATGTCCCAAACCAGTGCAAAACCAATTGCAGGGTCCACCACAGCAGTGATACCGTTTACCATTGAATCTATCCTAACCAAGCTCTCGAAAGGCATAAACTCTGTACTAGTAGCTAGGCAGAACACCGTCACCGTCATTCACCATGCACTACTGTGGGTGACCTGAAGCAGCTTCTTCGGCTCTGGGACACAAGGATTCTTGTTTGACAAATACGTAAAAGTGCCAGGAACCCAATTTCGATATGTGCAATACAAAAGTTAAACAAGAAAGGAAGATGAATGAAAACGAGAAGGGCCCCTTTAATAAACTTTTATAAGAGCCATATATATATATATATATACCCACACTTTTTGCGTCTCTTTGTATTCCTGTGTTTTGGCTGAAGGAAGGCAGTGGGTGGAAGGGACAATTCAATTTTTGCTTGCCCAACAGTCCTTCTCAAAGCGTGCCGCCACATACATCAGTGATCGCACCGCACCGTCGCGAGGAATATGTGACATGTCCTTGACTAAGACGCATCGAATCAATCGAATCGACGCACGTCTCCTTGAGCATTTCTGGCTGAGGTTCGAATCGATTCAACGCACCAGCCGTACCAAGTACCAAGGCTCTTGAGCGAGACCCCTTGCTCCAGAATGATTTCCACGATTGTATGGAGCATACAGAATGTTTGGATGTGAAGTGTCAAGCAGCCAAGCTCCCTCAACGACTGAAAGATTACTGATTACTACAGCCAGCGGTCTAGGTAAAATTTTCCCCAATCGTGATTGAGCCAGCACAAACTTTGGTGCCAAAGCATTAACCATTCCGCATGTCCATCCCGCCACGAACATGTAGATCACAAGCCCAACAAAATGGCCAATAAACGTTCTGCCAAAAAAAAAATCATGCGGTGAAACTGGTTATGTACGGACATGTGAGGTCTGACAAGCCTCCTTCACCAGCCGTGTCACAAACTATATAAATTATACCTATAGTTTCTTTGGCAAGGACACTTTTGGTTGTTTGATCGGTCATGGCATTCAATAAAGAACGGAACAAACAGTGGTCTCTCCATTCAAAATAGGCTACACAACCGGGCTTGGTGTCCGACCTCTGACTTCAACAAGCTTGGCTTCCAACATTCAGACTTGACTTGTATTTATTAATGGTTATATAGCGCATATATCAATACTGTAATATATGTAAATTGTTTTTACAAGTGTTGGCCAACAAAGCTGTTGCATCTTCCATGGAAGAACACCAGCCCACATACAGTACACACTGTCAAGGGCCATTTCGTGTGCCTGCACAGGTGCCTTGTTCTTTCCACAGCAATGGCAATTCTCAATCTATGCTCCCTCAGCCTGCAGGGGCTGGAGGATGCTGCGAGACAAGAAATATGTAGGTTTAGATTCTAGACGCTACCTTCACAGCCTTTGGTTGAGTATGTGCACAGGACAGCCCCCTCCTGATGATCATGTCTGGCGCGACCTTGGAGTTCCCTGAAAAAGAGACTTGCAAAGACAAAACTGCAATTCACACAATCTTTGCATGGAATTGATGATTGACTGTCGCACAGCTGCAGAAATGCGTTCATTGAAAGGTGTGCTCTGTGCAACAACAAAAGTAATTATGTAGATGAAAAGATCCTGTGAAGACCCTCCAATCTACAGGAAGTGCTGCCTACATCTAGAATCTTCGGCTTCGAGGGTATGCCCGCAGGCTTCCAATCCCAGCACTTTTCTTCCATGAGGCATTGCGCTTTTGTCCGTACCAACTCAGTGGTTAGGTCAGTGTCTTGGAGGAAAGGACATCGTGTGGAAAGTACCTGCGCAATTTGATTCACACAAAACCTCTGCATGTTTGATTGTCATTGTATGGATGTATGATATGGTTATACATCAAGGTGCCCTTCAAACTGCATACAAGCACCTCCAAAGAGTTGGTAGGTGCTGCCCATCGGAACGCCCTGGGCAAGACAAGGCCAACCAAAGCGTGAGGAACAGTGAGTTTGATCCCTTTCCGCGAAAGATACAGAGGATACATCCGAGTTTACGTGACCATTGAGGAAACCACTGCCATAACTGCTTCACCAGCAATCTCATGTTGGCCTACAGGCGCTGGAAATGATGTTGACGTCTTGAAGTCACTGGTGACTTGGCTATATATCTGCAGCAAGCAAATTCCATGAATGAAACAGCCATGCCCTTGTCGGTTCACAATTGCTAGTAGTTGGTATCTTGCCTGGAAGCGCACCATATAGGTGGTCATAGGGGTTCAAGTGCTTGGCCAGGAAGTGGGACTGCCAGCGCTGTGAAGTGCAACAGCCCAGGCTACCTTCTGCCACTCTAGTGGTCAACATTCTGGACATCTGCATAGTGACAAATGACCGAGGATTTCAGCAAATATCCAGAAAACATTCTGATTTTAATGTCCTTTATGCTTCTTCCGTCACCTCTGTTCTGTTGTACAAGTCCTCGAAAGCTTTTGTCGGAACGGACACCATCACATCCTGCGAGTGGTGCAATGAAGAGCTTTTTGGGGATAGCCTTACTCTTTGATTTCCGGCCTCGCAGTAGCAATGCAGAATGAAAAGACAGTAGCCTTCCGCCAGCATATCACACGAGTGTAAACGGCTCCAACAGGCACAAAGTCACTAAGCCACCCAACCATGTTCAATAAGCAACAGAAGTTAAAGACTGGGACCATGAAGTCCATAAGATTCCCTAAGTCAACACACTTCCCTTTTCAGCGAAAATGTGCCTTCCATTGTAGTCACGAGGAGGAGCGTAATTGTCCACAAGGAACGCTCGATGCCACAGGCCTAAGGAAGGTGAGCTGAGAAGCCATGAGTTTGGGAGTTTGGGCACCATAACCCTGGAAATACACCGTGGAAAGGAGGCAAACGAAACTAAATCAAATCTTTACCTTTACATTTATATACATACAAAGATGGCCTTCGGATTCAATCTCTTCAGAGGTAGCATGCTTATATGTACATTGACCTGTATTATATATTGTTGTATACGTATATCCTTCCCTGCTGGAACCTATGCGCAACAAGACTACATAATCATAATCCTGTAATTATTCAAGAAAGATCTACCTTCTCGCTGACCTGAATCAGTCCTCGACTTGTTTCATTTGCTTCTGTTTGGCTACGTCGCATCTGCAATCAAACCTGAAACTGAGATCAGGACAAATGGGCGGACAGCACCAGAGGCGAGGTTTGCAGGGATATCATCGCAGTTGATCTAAGAAATACACAGAAATACATTATCATGCGCACAGTGCTGACAGTGCAAGTAAACTTTTCAGACTTCTAAGTCACACGCATGAAGAAGGGTTTCCCAAAGAATGCCACCTGAGGACTCCAGGAGAAGCTATATAACTCTGCAACAATCATCTTGGGTTCAAACACAGATCGAGCACAAACTGGAAGACGAAGAAATACCTCTTCCGCATTCCCTCTTCATCTGTAAGGAAACATTGCTTGTGCGAAATGGACATAGCTCAGTGGCCACAGAATGTTTGTTTGAAAGCAACCAGCTTGCGGCATCTTTTCTTTTCTTCCCGGCGCAGGCACCACAAAGCGGTTTTGAACGCAAGTGTCCTGCTGGAAGTCTCTTGTGAACGTCGTAAAAGGGCTGTAGCTTTCCCACACCCACCTCGATGTTGTACTCCTGCACAACTCAAAACTCTTCACAACCAGTCAAACTTCAAAGGCACTGTGTTTTTCTCTCATGTAGTTTTGCTTGAGTCTCAATGACTGAAAATTTGGCACGCTTTGACCTACAGCAAGCAAGGGCAAGTGGATATCTAATGCAACCAAAGCTGCTCCTATGCTTGGCCATCTCCATTTGTTGGCTTGTTTCCCCGGCTATTCTGTCGGAGAACTATACCAATAGAGCCTCATATTGAATGGACCTTTCAAGACCCAACATGTTTGGCGGCAATTTTCAATGCTAGCCAGTTGCCAGTTTCCCCTTCCAAAGAAAGCACTTGTGAAGGATTCTTCAGTGGAAAGCAATGTTCACACATCGCTCACCAAAATATCGACATAGTTCAATACAATTTGCATTTAATTTGTATCAAATCAATAACATGTTGCAAACCAAACATCCATCTTCATTAACATATAACTCATGAGGTCAAATCTGTAGCAGCACCGGCTGGGCTGGGGGAAGTTTCAATCTATGTACAGTATGCATGCATGCATGTATGCCATACAAAGTGCGCGCTCGTGCACGAGGATTTGCCAGTGATGAAGTGTGAGGTGATATGGTGAAGAAGTGCTGAAAGTGTGAAGTGATGTGGTGAAGAAGCGCTGATACGCATCTACAAATCTTGCGAAGAGCTGAATCTGCACACCTTGCAAACTATCTGCGCCACTTATATACTTCTTTCTGTCCAGGAAACAGGGCTCTGGCCGCTGGCCGATATCTTTCTCAACTCTTTCACTAACTCGAATGACTCTTTCACTGCCAGGCGCGACAAAACCTCCCAAATCACCGCTTCTCGCGTAAACATCGACAACGCTGTTGGACCTCTAAGCCGACCGCAACATGTTTTGGTTCTTAGCGTGTCGCATGATTCTTCAAAGACAATGTATTGAACACGAAAGCCAAAAGTACTGCAATTACAGTAAGGGTCGCTGTTTATGATCCGAATTACTGTCTTCGTGTGGTTGTTTGGGGTTGTTTGGTGTTTAACAAAACTCAGGGTCCTGAAAAGTGCGAGAAGAACATGTTTTCCATGATCAAGTCTGAGTCTTATGATAGTTAGTTGTTTGGTTGTTGCTCATCTTGCAGTGTATCGGAATCCATATGGACAAAAAATGAATGTCCAAAGCATCAACTTCGTACACAGCAAAGAGTAGTGCAAAAACGCAAAACAGCGTAGTCGGTCAACAGGTGCCACCGCCAAAAAAAAACAACCTGATTCTGACACATTTCTGCATGCCCTCAATTCCCCCAAGTTTGTTACATCTTCTTTTCTCAATCTCACTCTAGGTACTTAGGTGACCTAGGTGCTTCATATCCGCGCTTTGGATGCTGCGATTTGCTATATCATTGTAGCTCTGTTGTGTTTCCCATATGATATGATGTTTACGATACAGTACTAGTAAGGTAAGTCTTGCTGCTTTCATATGTTTTCTCAGGCCATGATATAATCATCGTCCCCATACCACCAGTCATCTAGTTCTGTGCCTTTGATTCTTGCCTTGTTGGACTAAGACCATGGCACAGTGTTATCTCACAAACTTGGAAATGCCGCAGGTCTGTGCGAGTCTATGCTGTCTGAGTTTGCATGATCAACACAGCGGTTGTGGCACACATGTTGAACTACAATCCCAAATGACACGAACATGCAGCCAAGCTGCCTTCAGACCGGGCAACTGTGAAATTGACTCCTGCCAAGGAAAAAGGAGACTTGCACTGTCCTGAATGGCTAAATGGCTAAACAATAGGCCCGTTCCGCCCTGCTCGCTGTTTCTGAACTGGAGCTCATCAGGATCCATGTCCGCAGAAACATGTCTGGAGTGAACCGTTCTAAAAACTGCCAAAAGCTGAAGAACAAGACTCAAGCCGCCGTCAAGATCACCGTTTGTCTGCACTGTTGTCATTTGAGAGGGTCTTGGGGTGCTCCATGGAAACGCACTGGCACATTTTTGGAGTGAGCTGCCATTATCTTTGCTAATAAATTCAATGAATGTAATTTCGTTTGAGAACTTAACAAGTCACGTAGTTTGATCTCTTCATTGAACCATGGGTTTGAAGATTCAAGCATGTGTATATGCGTACATATATATATATATTTGTTTTTTTCTTTTTTTCTTCGTGTCTTTTCCGAAGCTCTTCACTCGGCCGTTTTGGCCCTAAAGCAAGTCGGCAGCTTGCTTTGCCTTCCATCTGCCCCGCATGGATTTCTGAGCTGTTTGCTTGCATGGAACTGTCCTTCTTTGCAAAGTGCATGGGATTTGCACTGCTGGCAAATAAGTTTGCCACCTTGCCGCCACATCACATGTGTGCAATGGCCTTCCCAACCGACAGCCGCCTCCCAAGGTCCATTCCAGCAAGGAGTGGTAGCGAGCGCCACCAGCTTTTCTTTTGCAGCATGCCGCAAAATGCGGCCTTTGCACTCCATGCACACAAGGTAGTTCTTCTGGAGCTCGAATCGGTGGGCTGACATCTCAGGCAGCGCGCCCGTCAGCATCTGCTGTATCGTCTCTCCTTTGGAGAGGCCTTGTTGGTTTCCTCCAGTGAGGTGGAGGTTTTTCGCCGGCCGGACACTTCTCATTTTTAACAGCTTCCAAATCAGCCATCTTCCAATGTTTGGTGATCCGTTTGCTACAGCCTCCACACTGAAGGCCAGAGCCTTTGGTCTGCCATACATGCCCTCGTTCTTGGCGCTGATTTCCGATGTCCAAAAACAGCTGACTCTTGGCAGCTCTGGCTTGTTCTCTATTCTTTTTCCCTGTTTCCTTGGCCTCATGCAAGAAGTGACCCTTATCCTCAAAAAGGTGCCTGATGCGCTGAATTGCCAGTGGAGCGATCTTCTGGTACCTCTGGTCAGTCACCTTCAGTTCCTCCTGCACTTGCACCACCACTTTCTTTGACAAATCCAGGTAATGGGCCATCAATCTCAAGCCGTAGCACGTTCTAACGACTGAACTCCTGGCAGCACTGTGGTGACCGCGCCTTTGCGGTAAAGTACTCCGTCAACTTGTGTGTGGTGCACCAAGGCGACAACGTAATGTTTGAGTCGCACATCTTTGCTTGTGGTTGCTATGCCTATGGTCACCTTGTCGGATTCTTGCAGAACCACTTCGTCATGCATGGTCCAGGATCCCCATGTCGGCGCCTCCAGTGGATATCTCATATGTGGGCATTTGGATTAGGCCCTGTGACCAAAAATCCAGATTCACCCCCATCTCGACTTCTGCCTTGTCCGCAGGATCGAGCGGACTGCAGGCTTTTTGGGTCTGTGGGCATGTCCAGAGCAAATGAATGGTGGTTGCTTCAACTTGACAATGTGGGCAGATCACGCGCTTGCCCTCTTGCCCTTCCGAACTCTTTGAAAAGAGAGCTCCTTGATGCCATGTCTGCAATGCCAAATTTTGCTGTTTGTTGAGTGTTCGACTCAGTCGCCGCCATGGGAGCCAATCCAGGGGTTGCTGCACCTCTGACAGATGTGATCGTTGGTTGATCTTCATGACCGTCTCCCATCTTCTTGCGCTGGCTAGCTCTTGCTTGAGGAAAAACCAGTCTGCATGCATGTTCAGGCGGAACTCGGGCTGACCATTGTGGCCAGGCTTGGTCCATTCGCCGTGGCTCTCATAGCTCCAGCCGTGTTCATAATGTAGGTAGCATTGCAAAGCTGCAACAGGTCCTTTGGCGTGCTGCCATGGATACTTTGCCTGCTGGAGTCTGTCACGATGCACTTGCCAGGCTTTTTCTAGGTCGCGCCCCAGATGTTCAGGCCAGTTGCCATAGAAGCGATGGTATAGCCTGACCTGATCTTCAAATGCACCATAGTCAGGGTCACGGTGTTGAGGCATCATGTCAAAAAGAATGTCAACATTCCCTGTCTTTTGCAAACCCATCTGACGGCCCATTGTGGCCTTGAGGCGTCGCCTGACTTGCGGTGCCAGGCCCATGGCCTCATGTCCCCAACTTATGCCGGCAACAATGGACCCCTTGTACAACTTCAAGCGAATGGACTGCAGAGGGATCTTGAGCACCTGCAACTTCCTGGTTTTGCGTGCTGCCTTGCTGCGACGTCCTCTCATTGTCTGGATGCGTCGAAGACGCCCTGCCGTGCAGTCAACTCCCAGGTCTCTCATCACGTCATGTATACGTTGTTCTTGTAAGATCCTCTTGACAGCTCCGTTCGAACATACAAATCCAGTCTTCTGGGCTGAGACTTTCAAATCATCCTTCTCCAGTTCTGTTCGCACAAAGTCGTATGCCTGGATGGCAATTCTGGCTGCGTTGTGAGGATCCTTGTCAACCACATCAAAACCCAGATCGTTGATCCAGAGGTCTGTATGCAGCTGAGGATATTTTTTGTGGAATTCCTTCAAAGCTCTCTGCAGGTACACTTTGGCAGCCAGAGGTGCTTGAGGGTCTCCAGCAAGGATGCCATGCGTGCCCCACAGTGGTTCTGATGCCTCTCCTTCTGCCTCAAGGATCCGGCTACCGCTGTAAACTTGCATTGCCATGGCCGCATGCGTTGCAGGGTATGTTGACTCGACCCATCGATTTGCAAGCTTCTGCAAGCAAATGCGGTCATAGAAATTGGAGAGATCCAAAAGGACCGAAACTACAGTACGGCGGTGCGCTGTGTGGTGTTCAGTCATACAGGATCTCTTGAGCGCCACTTGCAAACACTCAGTTCCAGGGACTGCTCTCTCCCAGGGGTACTCATCCTGAATGTTTTGTGCCCACTGTTTGGTGTGCTTGTTTCGAAGGCGACACCAAAGCCTGTAGAGGGTGGCCACCAATGCGATTGGTCTTTCAATCACTTGTGACTTCGGCAGGAGGGCAATTAAAGATGCACCCCATTGTTGCGGGATCATGGCCACGCTTTCAATGTGATGGAACATTTCCTTCAAGTCAGTCATGGCACTGTATGGAAGAGCTTTGAGGAAATCAAAACCGATGCCGTCCAGCCCTGGTGCTTTCAGAGCCAGCTGTTTGATGGTGTACCAAATGTGCGCCTCTGTGAGCGGCTCCATTGCCTTGGCTTCAGACTGACCCTTGTCGATGAGGCTTTCCATGCGCGCAATCAGAACCGGTTGATCTTGCACTCTCCAAATGTCGCCCCATTGACTGACCCTCTTTGCCATGCGCTCTTCCCTGGGCAGGGTTTGAAAAGGCCGCAAGTACGGCAGCTGGTCTTTCTTGAGGGTTCTGTACAGGCCTTTGCAGCCTTTGTGCGCGGCTTGGGCAAGCCACTGCCTGTATTCCTCTGTCTCTTGTTGCATGCTGGTTTGCTGATGAAGTTCTCGCTGTTTCTGTGTGTAGTTCAACAACACATGAATGCGCTCTTCACCATGTTGGTACCAAAGCATCTCAAAGAGCATCTTGTACCCCTGACATGACACCGGAGCATCATTGCGCCAGTTCTCTTCAATGTGCCAGCCCAATTTCTGCAGCGCGCCTTGATCCTGAGTTCTCGATCTGCTTGGCGCAACAACCTTTGTAGTCTGATCTCAATTTGGCCCCAGAAAGCGAGGCTCCCTTGTCTCCAAATCCAGGGTTTGCTAGGGTCGTTCAAAGGTCTTTGCACATAATTCAATGCTGTGCCTCTGCCAATTCCCGGTTGCTCCAGATTTTGCAGCGCATACCTTTCGATTCGGCTGTAGAGGCTACCAACTTGATTGGTGAGGTTGTCAGGTTCTTTGTTCAACCACTTGACTTCAACTTGCTTTTCCTCAATCTGATGCCATTCTTTATCACGCTTTTGCATCTGCGGTGCTGGCCCAAACTTGGACAATTGCCGGACTACGACTTCCTCAAAATGCCCAGCAATGCTGAAGCGTAGCATGGCATGTGGCTTGAAAGGGACCATCCAGTGTGCCTGAATGTGCATGTCCGCAATCAGCAGGTTTGATACGAGGGCCCAGTCCAGCTCACTACCTGTGTTGCATGTTTCCTCTCCAGTTGCCAGCATCTGCACTTGCATGGTTTGTGCCATGGTCGTAGTCATGAAAACTTCTGGGGCGATGTTGAAATCACCAAAAATCACAACCAGTTTCTGCACCTGTTTGACAAAAGCCAACAGACTGCCCCAAAGTGTGGCATTGGTCGGTCCCTGAAGGCCTTCTCCACACTTGAAATACGTCATGATCATGACCAGTTCGCTGTTGGCAAAAGTCCAGAGGACAGCATACCACCCACACCCTTCAATGGTTTGTTTCTGCAAGAAATGGAAATGCATGTGCCAGGGAAATACCATCATGAGCCCCCCATAGGTGCCTCCTTTGACACTCTCAGCAGCCGGTTCACCTAGGACCCCAAGGCCTCTAGTGGCAAACCATTGCACCATCTTTTCATGGTCCCTAGAACCAAGGTGAGTTTCAACCATGAAAAGCGGTTTGCGAGGACGGGTGACAACCCACTGTCTGACTGCCTGCCCTAGTTGTGGTGACATTGGCAAAGTCAAATTCTATGCTCTCCGTGCACCCTCGTTTGGGGTGTGGTGTCTCCAGCTGTCGGCTTTGTTTGTCCTCCAGGTCGCTGCCCACATTGGCAGGTAACAGGCGGCATGATGGTATTGCCCACACTTGGACAATCTGTTGTTTGATCTTTTCACTGATCCCTTGTATGGCCTTGGGATAGGCCCCATCATCTACTAGCCAAAACAGCCCTCTGTAGACAAAAACAGCAAAGAAATGACCTTCTTGGT